CTTAAACCCTTACCAGAACATCTGAAATATGCCTATCTAGAGACAGATGAAAAGCTCTTAGTGATAATCTCCACCAAGCTGAATGTTGAACAAGAGGAGAAACTCCTGGAAGTGAGAAAGAGGCATAAGAAAGCTATAGGCTGGACCCTCGTTGATATTCCTGCAATCAGCCCCTCTTTGTGCATGCACATAATACTTTTAGAGGAGGGTGTCAAACCAGTGAGGCAGCCTCAGAGGAGGGTAAATCCCATCATCTTGGACATGGTGAAGAAGGAGGTCACCAAGTTACTACAGGCTGGGATTATCTACTCCATCTTAGACAACACTTAGGTTAGCCCGGTCCAAGTGGTCCCAAAGAAATCTGGACTCACTGTGGTGAAGAATGAGAAAAATGAACTAATACCCACCAGAATTCAGAATAGTTGAAAAGTCTGCATAGACTACATGAGACTAAACCAAGCAACTCAGAAGGATCATTTTCCATTACCCTTCATTGATCAGATGCTGGAGAGGTTGGCTGGTAAGTCTCATTATTATTTTCTTGATGGTTTTTCTAGTTATTTTCAAATTTGCATAGCACCTGAAGATCAGGAAAAAATCACTTTTACATGTCTTTTTGGTACTTTTGCTTATAGGAGAATGCCTTTTGGCTTGTGCAATTCTCTATGAATATTTCAAAGATGTATGTTAAGTATTTTTTCTGATTTAGTGGAGCATTGTATAGAAGTCTTTATGGATGATTTCACTGTATATGGTCCATCTTTTTCTGCATGCTTGGTTAACTAGGAAAAAGTTTTGAAAAGATGCATTAACACTAATCTTGTGCTGAATTTTGAAAAATGCCATTTCTTGGTAGAGTAAGGTGTAGTGTTAGGTCATATCATATCTGGAAAAGGAATTAAGGTAGATCCTGCAAAATTAGATGTTATTGCACAATTGCCTTACCCCTCTTGTGTTTGAGAGGTTCTTACTTTCCTTGGCCATGCATGATTTTATAGGAGATTCATTAAGAACTTCTCCAAAATTGCCATTCCCCTGTCTAAGCTTTTGCAAAAGGAGACTGAGTTTAATTTTGATGAAAAGTGTAAAGAAGCATTTAATATACTTAAGGAAGCCCTGACCACCACACCCATCATCCAACCTCCAGATTGGACCAAGCCATTTGAATTGATGTGTGATGCATCCAATTTTGCAGTAAGGGCTGTTTGACTAAGCGGGTTGGTAAGTTTCCCCACATCATTTAATATGCTTCTAGAACCTTGGATCCAACACAATGTAATTACACCACAACTGAAAAAGAATTGTTAGCCATAGTCTTTGCACTAGACAAGTTTAGATCATATCTGTTAGGGTCAAAAGTCGTGATTTTTACTGATCATTCTGCCTTGAAGTATTTACTGAAAGATACATAAGATGGATGCTCTTACTTCAAGAGTTTGATTTGGAGATCAAGGATAAAAGTGGAACTCAGAATTTGGTGGCCGACCACCTGAGCAGGATAGAGGGAGTTCTTGACCCTATTCCTCTTTTAGATGCTTTTCCTGATGAACAACTCTTAGAGTTGTATGCTTCACAAGCACCCTGGTATGTTGATATTGTCAACTTTCTTGTTGTAGGGGCCTTTCCAGCAGGTGTACTAGAAGCTAAAAAGGATAAGATAAGGAGTGACGCCAAACACTACGTTTGGGATGACCCTTGTTTATGGAAGTTCTGTAGTGACTAAGTCATCAGAAGGTGCATACCTGATGAAGAGGTTCCATCCATACTACAGTTCTGCCATGCCTCAAACGGAAGAGGTCATCAAGGACCTCAAAGAACAGCAAGGAAGTGCTAGATGCAGGACTGTACTAGCCTTCAATTTTTAAGGACTCATGGCAAGCATATTTCACCTGTGAAAGATGCCAAAGAGCGAGAGGAGTAATTACCTGGAGACAGGAGATGCCCCAACAGTCCATCCTGTATTGTGACATCTTTGATGTTGGGGATATTGATTTTATGGGACCCTTCCCTTCCTCTTTTGGCTTTCTTTATATACTACTTGCTGTTGATTATGTCTTAAAATGGGTGGAAGCTAAAGCCACCAGAACTAATAATGCTAGAGTTGTTGCAGAGTTTGTCTGTAGCAACTTATTTTGCAGATTTGGAATCCTTAGAGCCATTAGTAGTGATCAAGAAAGTCTCTTCTGCAATAAGACTATGGAAGTCTTATTGAAGAAATATGGAGTTGTACACAAAATCTCCACTGCCTATCACCCATAGACAAATGGGCAAGTTGAACTTTCTAACAGGGAAATCAAGAAAATACTTGAGAGAGTTGTGCAGCCACATAGAAAAGACTGGAGCCGCAGGCTTGATTATGCCTTATGGGCACACAGAACTGCATTCAAGACACCCTTAGAAATGTCACTATATAGGGTGGTCTATGGAAAAGCTTGCCATTTGCCAGTTGAGGTGGATGATGAATCCATATTTTTACTAGTATTTTACTGTAGTTTTAATCCATTTGATAAAGAAAATATGTTGGAAAAAGCAAAAAAACTCATAAAAATAGAATGATTAAAGGATTTCTTTAAATACATAGTTCTTTTAGAATTTAGGAATTTTCTGTTTAGAAATTAATAATTCAATCATGTTTTTGTAGAAAAATCTGAGCAAAGTTCATGAAGATGGAAGATCAATAGAAGGATAGAAGAAAAGTAGCAAAACTAGACTCAAGGAACAAGGTTAATGGAGTTTAAGCTGGGCGTGATCATTATCGCTGGTGAAAGTGATTGATCCAGAGTTTAAAAGTGAAGTGGAATCTGTGCGTAATCACTCTTATCCACAAGAGTGAGTGTTCCAGAGAGTTTCTCAGAAGAACACAGATGCGCATTGTCACTTTCGCTGGTGAAAGTGAACGTTCCAGAGGGACTTCAATCACAACATAATTGCATGTTACCACTTTCACTGATGAAAGTGAATGTTCCAGAGAAGCTTCATGCATAGCGAGTAACGTGTGATCACTCTCTCCTACAAGAGTGATTGTTTTAGAGAGACCTTCAGCATTACAACTTGTGCATGGCTACTTTTGCTCATGAAAGTGACCACGGGCATAACTCGACTTCCAGCGTTGCCACTTTTATGAAGGAAAGTGATCATTCCAGTCTTACATAACACCAGATAAGCCTCTGCGTGGCTACTCTTATAAAGAAAAGTGATAACGCACAGATGACGGGAAACTTATAAAGTACAGAAAAGCTTAGATCTTTAAATGGGGGGATTCATTTTTCGTTTCCATTTAGTTTCTTAGTGTGTAGAGAGTTTGAGAGAGCGATTGGGGATGAACACCGAGTTTCAACCTAGAGGAATAAGATTGAAGATCAGTTGAAGATGACTCTTCTGCGTTCATTCTCCTATTCTTTTTTCTTTTTTTTTTGTAACGGTTGCTTGAATTCTTCATAGTTAGGGATTGTGAATCCAAACGAATGTGTTGAATCGATTATGGATCTGAATTTTGAATATTTGAATGAATTGAGTGATTGATACCGTAGATTCACGTAGTGATTGAATGGAAATTTGATTAACTAATTACAGAGGAACTCTTGTCAATGGAAATTGAATTTGTTCTTCAGATCTGAATTAATTACCAGGATTATAGATGTCATAAGGATAAGATAACTTGATTCTGCAATCTTCTGGTTTCTAACACCTAATGCAACATTTAATTGAACCAGATCTAAGGAATTATAGTGATTTGATTGAATGTTAGGTTCATTGAGTTAAGGAATTAACCTTTGAATAATATAACGTGAAACTGATTGTCATTCCTTCTAATTACTTGAAAGTTCAGAACCTTATTGATTCAACATTGAAGTTTTGGTAAAACAATTACCTAGCTATGTCTTCCACATCTGTTAATTACACATTTGCATGTTTAGTGTTCTGTTTCCTTTCTAAATTTAATATTTGTTACTTTTAATTCCAAATTCCATCTTAAATTTGTGAAGCTCAACTAATTATAGCCTTGTGAAGTAATAATGGAGCACTTTTATTCCCTGAGGACGATACTTGGGACTCTAACACAGTTCTATCATTTTTATAACTTGCTACATCATCGCTAGTACACTTGCTAGTCAAATTAACTTCTCTTATGAAGTGTGACAAGTTTTTGGCGTCGTTGCCCTGAAATATTGTTTTCAATATCATTAGTAACAAGAAAGTAATTAGATTGAGCATTTGTTTTCTTTAAAGTTTCTACAATTTTAGATTACATTTAGAATTTTTTTTGTTTGTAATCAATTGAATAATTAATTCTATATTTGTGTAGTTTTGATTTCTGATTGATTTTATATTGTTGTAAGTAGTTAGTTTGCATTTGTATACTGTAAATTAGTGCAATTTTCTGTTTTCTTCTGTTATATTTGTATTTTTGATTGTATATGCGTAGCAAGAACAAAAATAAATCAACTCTGGTCTTTAGTCCTGACATAGATATAACCTTAAGAAGATTAAGAAGAGAGGTTAGAGCAGAAAATTTCTTAGGAAGTGATAGTGAATTAGAAGTTATCCATTCTCCAGAAATTCAGAATAATCCTATTTTAAAAGGAACACCTCCACCTCTAAGGCAACCAACTCCAGAAATTGAAATGGCAGAACAACCTAGGATGAGAACACTAGGAGACTATGCAATTCCAAACATGCAGGGCTATAATTCTTCAATAGTTAGACCAACTATTCAAGATAATCACTTTGAAATTAAACCAGCCTTGCTACATTTAGTGTAACAAGACCAATTCTCTGGTAGAATTTCTGATGATCCTAATCTGTATATTTCAAATTTTTTGCAGTTATGTGATACCATAAGAATGAATGGAGTGAGTGAAGATGCCATAAGACTGAGGTTGTTTCCATTTTCTCTGAGAGATAGGGCTAAATGCTGGTTACAAGCACAACCACAAGAAAGTATTACAAAGAGCTTGTGAACAAATTCTTAACCAAGTACTTCCCTCCTTCCAATTGCCAAATTGAGAGGAGAAATTACATCTTTCATCCAGCAAGAAGGAGAATCATTATATGAAGTCTGTGAAAGGTATAAGGAACTACTGAGAAGGTGTCCACATCACTGTATTCTAGATTGGATGCAATTGGAGACTTTTTACAATGGAATGAATACAATAACAAGAACCATGGTGGATGCTGCTGCAGGAGGCTCTTTAAACATGAAATATTTAGAAGAAGCTCAGAGAATCATTGAGATGATGGCATCATCAATGTACCAGAACTCAAACTCAAGAAATGCAGGGAGAAGTATTGGATATGAAGCCAAGATTTTAGAAACTTTTCTTGCACAGAATTAACTGCAAAACTAGATATTTTCAGAACAAATAGCTGCCTTGACTCAATAGTTCAGCAATGTACAATCTGGAAGTGTGAGAATAAATCAACTAAGCTGTGATTTTTGTGGAGGAAATCATGTCAATGGTGCATGTGATGCATCTACAAGTGAATCACAAGAACAAGTGAATTACATGGGAAATTTTCAAAGATAACAACCTTCATTCCCACCTGGATTTCAATATTCGAATAATAGAAATCAGTAATATTCCAATTGGAATAATCAATATTCTGTTGCCAAGAATTCTAACTCTAATTTGCCTTTTTCGAATGCAGGTCCAATAACACAACAACCTTATTTCCAAAGGAATCCAACCACTCAACCTCAATGAAATCAAGAGTTTGCCAAGCCTATGACTGAAAGGTTGACTAAGATGGAGGAAACCATGTTGCAATTCATGAAAGTAACTCAAAAAAACTTCAAGAACCAAGAAGCTTCTATGAAGAAGTTAGAAACATAAATTGGACAACTAGCTGAACAACTGTCCAACAGAGATGAAGATTTTCAAGCAACACAGTAATAAACCCAAAAAAGCAATGTCAAGCCATAACTACAAGGAGTGGAGTTGTAGTTGCAAGTCCCAAACCTATAGAGAAAAAAACAAGTGATGCAGCAGAAAAGAGAAGAATATAACAAGATTTACAACAAGAAAATTTTAAGTTATTGAAGAGAGAGCATTCAAAAGAAAAGGTAGAAATTCCTATAAATTCTGAGAGGAAGACCAAGAAGCAACTTTTTGAAAAAGCTTACAAGCCAATAGATCCAGAAAAGCACAAGAGACTACCTTAATCTCAAAGAGTACAAAATCCAAAACAAGAGGAACAATTTGAGAGATTTCTAAATGTGTTTAAGAAATTACAAATTAACATTCCTTTTGCAGAAGCTTTGGAGTAGATGCCAGCCTATGCAAAGTTTTGTGAAGGAACTACTCTCCAGAAAAAGGAAGCTAGAGCATGATAAGACATTGCCATTGATAGAGGAATGCAGTGCCATTCTAAAATGGAAGCTTCCTCAAAAACTCAAAGATCCAGGATCCTTTAGCATACCTTGTGAGATAGGACATTGTACTGTGGGAAGAGCATTGTGTGATTTGGGAGCCAGCATTAACCTAATGCCATTAGCTATCATGAAGAAATTAGGAATAGAAGAAGTGAAACCCACCAATATCACACTACAGCTAGCTGATAGATCCTATACTTATCCTTATGGACTTGTAGAAGATTTATTGGTTTAAGTTGATAAATTCATTTTTCCTGCAGATTTTGTCATTCTGGACATGGAGGTGGATGCAAATATACCCTTGATCCTAGGTAGACAATTTCTTGCAATAGGAAGAGCTCTTATTGATGTGCAAAAAGGAGAGCTCATGCTTAGAGTTCAAGATGAAAAGGTAGTGTTTAATGTTTTTGAAGCATTGAAATATCCAGTTGAAGATAATACATGCATGAGAGTAGACATATTGAATTCTCTTATTACACATTATCCTATTGATGAAAATTCTGTGTTGAGAGAAACCATAGTTGCAGGGAGTATCAAATCTGTGATTCATAGAGAAGAACATATTATGGAAATTGAGCAACAATTGGAAGCTCTACCAATTCTAACCCCTGCAGAAAACTCAGTCAAAGAAGAGCTGAAAAAAGAAATTAAAGAAGAGCAAATTCAGAAGTTATAACTCAAGCAGTTGCCTTTTCACTTGAGATATGCTTTTTTGGATCAGAATCATGAAAATTCAGTCATCATTAGCAATGAACTCAAGGAGGAAGAAGAGGAAGAGTTGCTGAGAATTCTGAGAGAACACAAATCAGCAGTAGGCTGGAGCATTTTAGATTTAAAAGGTATAAATCCTTCTTTTTGTAAACATAGAATTTTATTTAAAGAGAAATTTAAACCAGTTATGCAGCCTTAAAGAAGGTTAAATCCAGCCATGAAAGAAGTGATAAAGAAAGAAGTCATGAAGTTGCTAGATGCAGGGATTATTTATCCAATTTCAGACAGCCAATGGGTTAGTCTAGTCCAAGTTGTCCCTAAGAAAGGAGGGATGACAGTTGTATCTAATGAGAAGAATGAGCTAATACCTACTAGAACTGTCATTGGCTAGTGCATGTGTATTGACTACAGGAAATTGAATGATGCAACTAGAAAGGATCACTTTCCACTACTATTTGCTGACCAAATGCTGGAAATACTTGTTGGACATGCATTCTATTATTTCCTTATGGATACTCAGTTGGAGTCCATTGAATTTTCTTAAATTCGTATGAGGTTTTAAGGTTAATTCTCACTTGTTTAGTTAATCTAATTCAGAGAAAGAGGAAAAGTATTGAATCTTGAGAGGAATAGGGATAGAATCACATGAATGAATTAAGGATTGCTACATTTCATTGATTGAACTCATTAATTTCATCCCTTGTCTTTACATTAAAATTGGAATCACACAAAACTCCCTTTTTAATTGCTTTCATAGTAAATGTTTATAACATGTTCAATGTTTGTTACCAACCAAAGTCATTGGAGACAACCTAGGCTTGCATCCTAGACTACATAAAAGTTCTGCATGTTTTGATGAGGATTGGCGACAAATCTTTATGCAAACAAAAATTGTATCATTAGCATCTTAAATAAATTAAAGTTGTTTATGTCTTCTTTCTTATCAGATTATACATCAATCTATAATCTTACGCTACTGTAATATTCATCAAAATTAAAAAAATCCCTTACTTGTTGTACATGTCCTTGGATTATTAGAAGTAGAATCAACCTCAAATTGAGATTCATCAAAACTAGAATCAATATGAAAGTCAATAAGAGTTGTTGTTTTCCTTTTTTTTTCTCACTTGTTCTTGATATTGGTTGTTTTTTTCTCATTTGTTCTTGTTGTTTTGGTTGTTTTATTCTATACTTTTTGTTCTGACTCTTTTGTTCCCACTTTGCCAAAAAAAAATTTCTTTCTCTGACTACCATCAACATGCTTTGGTTGGTTCTTATCTTCCTGTTCTACTTCAATATTTTCTTGTGATACTTTTCCTTCAACACCAATCTCATCAAATTGCACCTCATCAACATTGATGAAATATTCAAGTAATGAAACAACAATATATATCTCAGCTTGTGAAATAACATGTACAACATACAACTCCATTTTTCTACAACACTTGGACATTGTGGCCATTTCCATAGCTTATTTATCATCTTTTAGTTCTTCAATCCAACATCAAGACCTTTATCATCTATTTTGTACCATATACTATATCAACCATATCATATGCCTAATACACGTACCTCATCCAAACACTCAAAATAACTCTAAAAATCTTCTTCACAGTCCTATATACTTGTCTTATCTCCAACATATTTAGTCTTTTGTGACTTTTCAAACAATGTGACTCATAAACCCCACAAAATATAAATAAAATAGTATACCTAACACAGGCAAATAATAAATTTCAGAAATAGAAACATACTTTATAATATTGATTTTCGATTCTACTTCAAATTTTTAGGATTTTGCCATAAAGAATTCTTTATAGCACGAAACTTTTTGCTTCACAAACAGATTTTTAGCTTTCAATATCTTAAATTCAGTCTAAAACACAGTGACGATTTCCCTCCCTTAAGTGTGTTTCAAGTAACTGGTATCTCCATGTGTGACAATGGCTTCCAATTCTAGGCTTTCATTTATAGGGTCTAAGTAGAATTAAATAAACGACGAAGGCCACTTCATCCCCACAAGTTATATAATAAAACTAACGAAAATGACTAACTTGGAATAAAAAAAACTTCAGGGACAAAGTTGAATAAAAAAAGTTAGAGGACTAAAACAAATTATACCCTAAAGTTAAGAGATGAAAAGACTAATTTTACCAAAAATTAAGTTGAAATATAGTTTACTAACATGTAAATTTTTGTGATTTAGTAATATTTTGTTAGAGAAATTAGAACTTAATGAAATTTTTAGTTGTTTTTTTAATAATGTTATTATTATGATTTTGTATGATAATAATAAACTATATTTAGTTTAATTGTAATAATTTCTATTTATAAAAAATTATTGTTCATTATGTACTTAATGTAAATTTTAAATGTTGTTATTTAGTAAAAAATTGTATTAATATATTTTTTAATAATTATAATTTTTTAATGAAGATGATGTAGGGTATGTAGATTGATATTTGTATTAATAATTATGTTAAAAATTTTAATTTTTTTAATTAAGATGTAATATTAATTTGTATGTATTGTACGTCAATATAAAATTTATTTTAATTAGTTTATATTTGTATGTTTTTAAGTTAAAAATGTTAATATAATATGACTTGACTTATGAAAAATTTATACGTAAATAGAAAATATTTAATGTAAAATATTGAAATGAGAGAATTTATTTGTATGTAAGTTGCAATAATAATAGGTATGTAGTGAATGAATGTATATATAAATTTTTGTAATTAATTTTATAAGAAAAATGTTACTTAAATTATTTTATATATCCTTAAAAGGTGGGAATTTATTTGTTTGTGTATTTATTAAATATTAAATATTGGTATAGATGACATTATCTTCATGACATAGTAGGGTTATTTATTATGGTCCAAAGTATTGATAACTTTTTCGGTTTCAGAGTCTGAACATATATAAGATGAATGTGATCACCCGATGTTAAGGGTTAGGAAGAGTTAATTTATTCTTGTGGTTTGGAAAGTGCTCTACAGGAAATTGTACTGCATCTAGAG